AAATGAATTTGAACAAGCAAATGAATTTGAACAAGCAAATGAATTTGAATAAGCAAATGAATTTGAACAAGCAAATGAATTTGAACAAACGAATAGATTTCATCAAGCAAATAAATTTAAACAAACTAATAAGCTTAAACAAATAAAGAAATTTAATCAGTCAAGTAAATTTAACCAATCCAATAAATTTAAACAATTAGATAAACTTAAACAATTAAATAATACTAGACGATTAGATGAATCTGAACAATCAAATGAATATGAACGAACAAATGAATTTGAATGAACAAATGAATTTGAACAAGCAAATGAATTTGAACTTGAAGGATCTTATGAAATTGAACAAATTAGTGATATGGAAGAAGATATTGAACAAGAAAATAGTAATATTAACTATTAAATATAAATTTTATTATATTATAATTTATTAATAAATAATTTTATTTTTAAATAGATGATGATTTAACTTTCCTTAGTAGTAGCGAATATTATAAGAAAGTATCAAAACCAAAAACAACCATTAATATTAACAATATGCAAAAAGAATTAGCTAATAAAAAATCAACTTTATCTGAATCAAACATACCACAGCAATTAATACATCATAAAACTGAATATAAAGTTGCTAACTGGGTTGCCTCACGACCATCAATTTTAAATCATGCACAATTAATTTACAAGTCTAAAAAACGATCTATTAGTCAAGTTGATGATGATAGTGCCAAAGAGAAAGAAACTATTATAATAACTGTTATCCTTTAATGAGTTTAAATATGAATTGAAATGTAAGTAATAAATAATTTAATTATATAATAATATATTATTTTACTATTACAGACTATTGAAGATCGTGTTTATAAAGAATTACGAGCATTATTTTTACGAACACGAAATAATACCACTGAACTTTATGAAGAACTAACTGCTTGAATTTTAAATACCAAGCGTGCACATTCAGAAATACCAAACTTAACAAAAAAGATTGGTAGTGTAATGGATAATCAAGTTAACAAATCATTCGAAAATACAGCCAAACAATATAGAGTAAAATATGGGTTAGTAAAATATATATAATATTAAAATAATTAATAATCTAATTATGTAGCTGCCCGATACGAAAGTATCGGAGCAGCCTTTTGTCTCGAATCGGTCACGGGTTGATCATCTGATGCATTG